TCTATCTATCTATCTACCTATCTATCTATCTATCTATCTATCCATCTCTTTCTCTCTTCTCTCTCTTTCTCTCTCTCTCTCTCTCTCTCTCTCTCTCTCTCTCTCTCTCTCTCTCTCTCTCTCTCTCTCTCTCTCTCTCTCTCTCTCTCTCTCTCTCCATCTATCTATCTATTGTCTATTTATCCATCTATCCATTTCCCTCTCTCTCTCTCTCTCTCCTCTCTCTCTCTTCTCTCTCTCTCTCTCTCTTCTCTCTCTCTCTCTCTCTCTCTCTTCTCTCTCTCCTCTCTGTCTATCCCTTTCCCTCTCCCTCCCCTCTCCTTCTCCTCTCCCTCTCCTCCCCTCTCCCTCTCCCTCTCTCTCCTCTCCTCTCCCTCTCCCTCTCCCCTCTCCCTTCCCTTCTCCCTCTCCTCTCCCTCTCTCTTCTCTCTCTCTCTCTCTCTCTCCCCTCCTCTCTCTCTCTCCCTCTCCTCTCCCTCTCCCTCTCCCTCCCCCCTCCCCTCCCCTCTCCCCTCCTTCTCTCCCCCCCCCCTCTCTCCGTATGCCGGAGCCCCAAAGGTGTGCCAGGAAGCCCCTTCGATGAGGGGCTTCCTGGTACGGTCTCCCAAAGGAAGCTCTCGACCAGATACATATCTTCGATTTCTAAAGACTTGGTATTTTCCTTGTCAATTTCGCTCCGCCACGTTTATCTTTACATAAAGAGATCGCTTCTCTTCCGTGCGAGATGCAGGTTTTCTTCATTCCTCCTAGTGGCACCATCCAGCCTAGCACAAGGATCGTATTATGATGTTTATGATGGCAGCAAGTGGCAGCTTGCTCGCTGGATATGGTGCAGCATTCGTGAGTATCCACAGAGTCTAACTTGTTGATAGAGCCTCTTCTCAATGCCTTAGTCTGACATGCCTATTCTGACAGACAAACTGAATTTACTGTGTCCACGCACTCACGAAGTGGCTCTGCGAAAGGAGACGCACTAGCCCAATGTTCAAGGAGCTGCTGAACGTGTCCGCTGCTGCCAGAATTTTCCCTTTTGCCGAGTCTCCAGAGAGAGGAAGAGTGCACGTTCCCTGAGTGAGAAGAATCAAGCTGTTAGCACTGAACCTGTGTGTCTATCACTTTCTCCTCGAGGAATACTTCGGCCTCTTCTCTTGCTGTTCATGTTGTCCTCGACCATCGCCTCTGTCACCTGGCTGTTCTACTTGACCTGGTTCGACGTTATTCCACTCTGCTTGAAGTTTTACACGTTTGCTCGAGTGATGATTATCGCTGCGCCACTACTCTAACTTCCCAAATATCCTCGAGAATTGAGACGAAGGTAGGAGGCGAAAGGCTTATGTTGATAATACCTGATGTTCATAATACCCTGATGAATGTTTTTGAGATTGAAGCTTGGCTGTAAATTCTATAAACATTAAAGATCTTTATAATATAGTAACCATATCCTAGGCTAACAGCAGGGTTCTCGGATTATATTACATTATACATACATTCTTACATATATACACACATACATATATAGATAGATAGATAGATACAGTAGATATATCGATATATATATATATATATATATATAATATATATATATATATATATATATATGTGTGTGTGTGTGTGTGTGTGTGTGCGTGTGTGTGTGTGTGAGTGAGTGCATATGTATATGTATATATGCCTAGATCGTTATTGATTCAACATTTAAAAGATTGCATTCGTTATAATTGTAAAGATGTATAGACCACACTGAAAACGTTTATTTACATATCATTTTTCAAAGGTACATCGATAGAACAGAATTTAGTGTTATGACCAACAAAATAAATTATGATAATCACCAAGAAATGGTAGGTTGGTTTAAATGTTATAATTAAATGGGGGAAAGTTGTAAAAGTTTTATCATCACACTCCCTTGTCAAACGGCATTATTGTTTCTCCCGGAGGCCGTTATGATAAGTACTGATATTAAGTCATGTTTTGCCCGGATATTGGAGGTTGTGATGTTTAATAAGTGCATTAATATAACTGTGAATCCCTGTGTATTGAATTGTGACAATTGAGACGGCATCGTCGTTTCACCCCGATTGCAGAGAGAAGAAAGAAAAGTCGTGACCAATACAACATCCATGACGCCTGCCTTGTTGTTAGGAAATATTTATTTATCTATTTTTTATGTTTTTGACCAGTGGATACAACAGAATTAGTCGAAGGAGACAGTTCCGGTGGTCTAAAATAGACTGAGAATGTATTATATGCCGGAGTGTATGTAAGGAAGAAAAATCATAAAGCAAATATATAACAGACAGATACTGGTAGAATGGCGGCGACTTGATCTTGTCACGATTATTTATTATGGATATTGTAATGAATACTGATTCATAATTGGTAGGAAAAAAGAGGGTGTAGAGTTCACTGTAGATCTGAATGAAGTTAGAGAATATTCCTTGTTTTAATATAATGTTTATTGCAAATATTTACACTTGTTTATTACTATTTGTTTATAGTATATAAAAAATGGTTAAGGATGTTAGTAAGAATTTTTAATACTTGGTATGAAATATTTCTCAGAATAACCTGGTCCTGATACTTGTCCCAACTGAAATTGATCCCGGTACTTCCTTCAAATGAAAATGACCCTTAATTATGGAAATTATCCCCTATCAAGTTTTCAGGGGGTAGCATGACTATCAGGAACATTTTCGTAGGCCTTCTCTGTCTGCTGGAGGGCACCTATGGTATGAACATTTTCAGGCATATGCTTTTAGGGGGGATAGGGGGGCTCATTTAAAAAGAGTGCTCTTTGTACACGTGAATATGTTGAACCTCTCTTTACTCTGTTCGATCTTAATTAAAGGGACACACTGGCTAATGACCTGAGCTCCACTCAATGACTTCAGCTCAGTCATCGGCTCTCAGTTGACTTCTTTCGTAGTATTGAGACAAATCAGTAGAAAGCTGGGTGGCCGATATGCATTCTCTTTTGGAATCCTCTGTGCCAATGACCAAAAGCTAGTCCTGTGGAGTACTTTTGCAGTCCTTTACCGCACTGAACCTGCCGATGTCGAATGTTGGGCGTCGACGACTAGGTCATTCTAGGTCGCCAGAAATGACCATCGCGAGGACACGGCAATGCCTGTCCTTAGACCAACCCTCGGACCATTCCCAAG